TAGGTCTCCACCGCCCTGATCCAAGCCACCATCACCCCTCACCTAGGCTACTGCAGTTGCTCCTGTCCTTTCCCCCAGGGTTCCACAAAAATCATGGCACCTTAACACACATAGAAGCCTGTGCCCCAAGTGTGCGGCCCTGCTGCCCCTCTCCACTCTCCACTCAATCGCACCACCCCAGATGCACTGGGCACTATGTCTCACACCTGTCATTCCCACATAGTCCTCCAGAATTGACACAGCCCATTCTCTCACATCACTTAAGTTTCTGCTCCACTGTCACCTCTTCAAAGTCCCTTCCAAGGCATCCTCTGTAAATCATCTGTGCCCTTTATGAAGAAAAGAATGAAAAACTAAGACCAGGGCCAGCTCCCAAAGGACCGTCCGTGAACACACGGTGTGAAGATCAGCAATGTTCTGAGTGGCCAGGCTGTACTGTTAATAATTTTAAAATTTCCTTTTCACAACAGCCCACATTTTAAAACTCCGAAAGGACAGATTTTGAGATTCTCATTTCCACAGAATTCTCTACAAGCTCCCCATTTACCCTTTTCTAGAAGATAAAAGCAGAGTAAGGACAATGTATAAACTGATCAGAATGAATGAAGCCTTAACTCCAACCACAATTTTTGGTGGGACTATGTATCAGAAAAGGACTACTTAGCCTGGGCGTGGTGGCTCACGCCTGTGATCCTAGCACTCTTTCTTAAGAGGCCAAGACAGGTGGACTGTTTGAGCTCACAAGTTCAAGACCAGCCTAAGCAAAAGCAAGAAAGACCACATCTCTACTAAAAACAGAAAAACCACCAGGCTCAGTGGTTCATGCCTATAATCCTAGCACTTGGGAGGCCGAGGCAGGTGGATTGCCTGAGCTCACAGGTTTGAGACCAGCCTGAGCAATAGGGAGATGCCCCCATCTCTTAAAAAAAAAAAAAACTATAGCTGGGCATTGTGGTGGACGCCTGTAGTCCCAGCTACTTGGGAGGCTGAGCCGAAAGAATCACTTAAACCCAAGAGCTGGAGGGTGGTGTGACCTGTGACACCATGGCACTCTACCAAGGGGACACAGTGAGACTCTGTCTCAAGAAAAGAAAAACTGAGGCAAGAGGATCTCTTGAGCCCAACAGTTGGAGGTTGCTGTGAGCTATGACACCACAGCACTCTACCCAAGGCAACAGCTTGAGACTCTCCCAAAAAAATTAAAAAAGGAAAAAAAGAAGAGGACTACTTAGTGTCTCTGCTTCCAGAAGAGAATAAGCTTCCACCAGACGCAATCTTCCTACAGACAGCAACTGTAAACGTTGGACAAAAATACCAAAAAAGCAACTTCCTGAAAGCATTAAGCAGCAGAAAAATAATGGAAGGTGCTGAAATTTAGAGGAAGGATGACTGATACGAGGATTATTGTTGCTTTTATCCTGGGAGCAGGCCAGAGTCAGCACCATGGAGGACGGCTGAAACTCTCATGCAAAACCCACGGTCTTTCTGGCCTGAAGAATAACGGGATTAAAGTGTTGGAGACAACCACAGCCCCTGGGAGGAAAGGAGAAACTCCAGAAAGGAGCGAGCGAGGGTGAGGACTCTAAGTTTAAACTGCCAGCCTCTGGCCCACCATGCGTGCGTGGTACAGCTTGTAAGCAAAGCAGCTAAATATAAAGGACCTCAACTAACAAGCGAGCTGCCATCCTAGAGACAGAACTGTTCAGTTTGAGTCCAAGATTAACTGCCTGCTTAAAAAATAAATAGAAAACTTTACAGAATAAAAAAATCAAAGAAAACCATGCTGAGGCAGACATGTATCACAAACTGCTAAAAACCAAAGACAGTCTTGAAAGCAGTCAGAGACAGCCACACATTCCATACAAGGAAAAAATACGGAAACCATCAACGTATCTTCAGAAACGATGGAAGTCTGGGAAACGGTGGAACCTCCTTAAGGTTCCCAGCGGTAGTCCTCAAACTAGTAGAGAGTTTTTCAAAAGACTAGCTCTTGTCCTAATAACCCTCTCTATCTGACTTCCTTATACTATATCTTTGCTGTCATGTTTCAGGAGCTAAGGAATCTGACTCAAGTGTTTACAAAATATCCAAGTTCCTGGAGAAAGCAGACACTCACCGCCGTCACCACCTGCGCTCCGCAGCTCCGTGACCCACTTCAAATGGTGGCCCTTCCCATCTCTCTGCATGGCCTGTCTCCCGGCCCAACCACTACCCCATTTAAGCTGAAGTCCTCTTGGAACAGGACTGTCCAGGACGGTAGTGATAAAGATGACCTTCACGCGAAGCTAGACTCCTTTGCTATGTAAATAACTATTAGGAAAGAGTAACTGTAACAGGTAAGTCCTATCAGGTACCCCTCCTAAGACAATCCTTCTCCACTTGAACAGCCAGGGCTCTAAAGACTTCACAGCCCACAAATACCATCTATGCCTATTGCTTAGTTGGGAATCTGAGCGGAAGAGAAGCACAGGTTACTCAGCATTTTCCGAAACGGCACGGAGGTTCCTGCGTTGAGTCATTTGGCCAATACGCTGATTTCTAACCATCCTCCCTAAAGGACTGAAATCTAAAAGACTGCCTGGGAACCACCCTTGTGCTAAATTTATATGAAGATTTATTAACCTTAATGTAACGAACAGGTTATATCTACATCTGGAAGGAAAAACCACCCTGAGATGTATCGTAACAGGGCCATTTTCTTCTCTCTCCAGCCCGGATTACTGGCTCCACCCTAAAGAGAGCAGTAATGCCGCCTACTACCCAAACACCTGCTTCTCTTAAACACAAAGTATAGTAAAAATATTTAGAGAATAGAGGGACATTTCTCCGGCGTGAAGTGGTTTCCTCTTTTTTAGAAGAACTAGAGGCTCGGCGCCTGTGGCTCAAGTGGCTAAGGCGCCAGCCACATACACCTAAGGTCGCAGGTTCGAATCCAACCCGGGCCCGCCAATCAACAATGACGGCTGCAACCAAAAAATAGCCAGGCATTGTGGCGGGCGCCTGTGGTC